AGTCAGATTGCTGCTCTGTAGTCAGAATGTTGCTCTGTAGTCAGAATGTTGCTCTGTAGTCAGGATGCTGCTCTGTAGTCAGAATGTTGCTCTGTAGTCAGATTGCTGCTCTGTAGTCAGAATGTTGCTCTGTAGTCAGAATGTTGCTCTGTAGTCAGGATGCTGCTCTGTAGTCAGGATGCTGCTCTGTAGTCAGATTGCTGCTCTGTAGTCAGGATGCTGCTCTGTAGTCAGGATGCTGCTCTGTAGTCAGGATGCTGCTCTGTATTCAGGACATTGCTCTGTAGTCATAATGCTGCTCTGAGGTCAAGAAACTGCTTTGTGGTTAGAAAGCCGTTCAGTAGTCAAAACACTGATCTGTAGTTATGATTCTGTTCTGTAATCAGGACACTTTCTTGTATTCAGAATGTTGCTCTATATTCAGGACCCTGCTCTGTAGTCAGATTGCTGCTCTGTAGTCAGAATGCTGCTCTGTAGTCAGATTGCTGCTCTGTAGTCAGGATGCTGCTCTGTAGTCAGATTGCTGCTCTGTAGTCAGGATGCTGCTCTGTAGTCAGATTGCTGCTCTGTAGTCAGGATGCTGCTCTGTAGTCAGGATGCTGCTCTGTAGTCAGGATGTTGCTCTGTAGTCAGGATGTTGCTCTGTAGTCAGATTGGTGCTCTGTAGTCAGAATGTTGCTCTGTAGTCAGGATGCTGCTCTGTAGTCAGATTGCTGCTCTGTAGTCAGGATGTTGCTCTGTAGTCAGAATGTTGCTCTGTAGTCAGGATGTTGCTCTGTGGTTAGAATGGTTTTGGTTTAATCTTAAACAACTGTCTTTAATGGTAAATCACATAAGCTGTATTACTGTCAGCTAATAACACCACTACAGATTAACTGAAATAAACTGAGTTACTGTGGAGCCTTTCTTTTATTGCTAAAATCACTTAGCTTTTGTGGCCGTCTTGAATCAAGACGAGTCCAAAATCTTTTAATCACAGGCAAAAACACTGTTGCATTTGAACTTTTCTTTTCCGGGCAATAAATGCTATTAACTTTGTAGTTTTTTWTTTTATTTCTGACAAGAAAAATATCACAGACTTACAGCAGTTCCTTAAAAAAGTAAAAACAAAACAAAACAAACAAACAAACAAAACAGACTAGTTAAAGGTATAAAATGCAGTTAGTGCGTCTAACAACTTCTGAGTTTTCAACAAGAGGAAGTTTGGGGTCAAAGAAGCAAATAAGAATGTTTACTGTCATGCAGCTGCTTCAGTGAGCAGCATGAAACCCGACACCAGCTGCTACTTTTAGCTCTGAAACAGATCCACAGGGCAGGAGAGGATCTCTTTAACCTTAGTTCACACACACACACACACACACACACACACACACACACACACACACACTTTTGCACTTAGTATGCGGTGCAGTACTTGCAATTTGTATGTGTTTGGATTCCAATTATGGAGTTGTTAAAGCTTTTTTTTTTTGCCTGTGGCTTGCAAATTATTATTAAGCCATACATTAAAGAGCACCCAATCACATTTAAATGAAGTTCATGTTTCTCTTTTGTTTTCAAGTGTTGTGGTTTTTATTAATTTATTCTCTAAGCCTGATGCAATGTACATAAACAAATAAATTGTCTTTGTGATTGTAATGCAAAATACTTGTTGCTTATTCGGAGATGGGGGCAGCATTTGTCAAATAAAGCAAACAACAACAACAAGCCTACAGAGAATAAAAAAAAAATAAACACACCACTATTCAAAATGAATCCCTTCCATTCTATTACCCTGGCCCATTAAAGAAACAAACAAACCCAAACTTGGGAGTATTTTGCAGTCTGTTTTCAGACAGAAGTGAGATCGTGTGTTTGACAGCACTGTGGGTAATTGAATGATTTACTTGGTGGTGGGAATTGATTAGGTTAGGGGTGTTTGGACACAGGAGGCTTTGAGGAAGGCTGCATGATGACAGCAGTAACCTCAAAGGTCTCGACTCTTGACAGAATCCATTATTGTCTGTCCTTCAAATACCTTAAAGCGTGATGGCGTTCAGGAACTTGCAAAGAAAACAAGTAAATATAATAAAAATCATAGTGCCAAAATGTTACCACGTATGTACCTTAGCCCAAGCTTTTTTATTTATTTAAAAAAATTTTTTTTTTTGCATTTTGCATTTTGGGCAAAACATATTCTGACTAGCCTGGCCCTTGCCTTCCTACGCAGCTCCGCTCAATTCTAGTTTCCCTTCACTGCTCCGTCTGGGACNCACACACACACACACACACACACACATTATATATATACACACACCGGATGTTTAATTTGTGTTACATTTGATCTTACTGTCCCATAAAGTTCTACCAGAATCCCAGGTCCTGGTTCTATTCCACTGGTCCGGGTCTGAATAATAACATTTAGTTGATGATAAACAATTAATACAATCCAACATGTCTAATTAAAGAGAAATAAGAACCCATAAAGAATTTATCTTTAGATATTAGCTACAGTTTTAGACCCATAAAGTCACGTTTTCTGAGTGAAAACAAAATTCTTCCCAAGACTAGTTTATAAACTCTGAACAGATCAGATTATATAAACTTTATATACTTTATTGATCCAATGGTGTGGAAATGAATTCTGTGCATTTTGTAACCAGACCAGATTACGAACACAGAACAAACCCGTGTGTGTGTGTATGTGTGGGTTTGTGCGTGTGTTTTGCCATTTAACATTCAATAATGGATTTTGTTACAATATTTTTCAAGTCTTCTGACATCTGTTGTGCTATTTTTAACTGTGGAGTTTGTTATTTTCTATGGGTTTCTTCTTATTTATCCTTTCCTCGTGTGCTGCTTTGATTTTTATTTTTTTAATTCTCTGCTCAGCCATAAATGTATGGAGGGCTGAAACTGACGTAATTGAAAATAAAAGCAGAAATATATAAATGACCTGGAAAAATAAACATGAAGGCAAATTACATGATAAAACATGAGACAAAGTTCTCCTTTTTTAAATTAATTGGTGTATTTTAAGTGCATTTGTTTATTTATTGGGCCATTTATATTTTTCTGCTTTTAATTTTGGTTATGTCAGTGTCAGCCCTCCATACAAAGGCCCTGAGACATGAAGACTGATGATTTGATGGTTGATCTGTTTCAGAAGGTAAATTCCAACCCCTCAGACGGTTATTTGGGAAGAAGAAGAAGAAGAAGAAGAAGAAAAGGAGCTTTGATGGAGCAGAACTAAAAGTGGGAGCGGTGCGCAGCGAAGTGGTGTCAGACAATGAGGAGTCTAATGAAAATCTGAGGTGAATAAACGATCAGCTGCTTTAAACTGATCCATCTTGTGTTAAACTTTGACATGACAGGTGATATGAAGTCCTTCAGAACTTTATGAAAACCCTCAGGAAGCTTTCAAAGTTTAATGTTGGTTCTGTCTGCAGGGAGTTGAATCCTGTTGAATCTCGAGCTCTCTCCCTCGACAGCATCTTTAACCTTGAAGAACCAAAGGAGCTGAGTCTGGACCACAGCATGTCCCAGGAAAACGTTTCAGATAAAGTCAGGAGCCTGCAGGTGGGCCAGCAGAGACAGTGTTCCTCTTTCTGCTTTGAAAATAAAACTCCTGAATTTTATTTCTTTTTCTTGACCGGACAGAGGCAGATAGTCCAGGGGATAAAGTTCGGCCAGAGGCCTCCTTCTCTTCGGAAGAGCGAGGGAGAGGAGGGCAGTTCGGATGAGGAAGAGCTTCTTCAGAGTCCTCTGAAGGTTGTGGCCCAGATAGAACCTGAGCCTCCTAAAGCAGAGTCCAAGGTGAGTTCTATTCACAGCTGACACGTTTGTTCTGCTCTAAACGGACCAGAGTTTGTTTCCCCTGTTGGTCCGGATCTTTTATACAAGTGTGAACACTATCATGCAAATCTGGTGCAGACCAAACAACTGGACCAAGACCCCCTTTTGAAGTGGTCTCGGTCTGCTTTCAAACTAACTCTGGTGTGTTTCGCTTCACTGTCCCAAAATTAGAGTTTATCATCGCGAAACTGCCTTTAAAAGAGCTTTTCTTGAAATTCTAAACCAGAGGAGCCCAAAGTGGGGCCCGCGGGCCAAATCTGGCCCGCCAAGCCATTTGATTTGGCCCACTAACAGTTGCCAAAGTTACTAGGTTGTAACCTGTTATCCTATAGGTAGAAACAGTTTTTCCATTGGTCAAA